CTGAAGCCGGCGGTCCACAACCCCCGGGCCGTGGACCGCTACCGCTCCGCGGCCTGTGAGACACCGGGCCGCTCAGCAGCAGCAGGATGTGAGAGCGGTGGGCGAGCGAGCGACGCTTCCTCGTCGGTGTTGACAGATGATGAAGCTTCATCGTCTGTGTTGACAGATGATGAAGCTTCCTCGTCTGTGTTGACAGATGATGAAGCTTCACCGTCTGTGTTGACAGATGATGAAGCTTCATCATCTGTGTTGACAGATGATGAAGCTTCATCATCTGTGTTGACAGATGATGAAGCTTCATTGTCTGTGTTGACAGCCGCTCCCCATCGCTCGCCTCCAGGCTGAGCTCCGCCTCCTGTCAGATCAGCGGCGGCATGAGATTCTCGTAGGAGCGCGAGCCCCACTGTGTCAACTGCGCACGCCAGGGATCTGAGTTGCGCGCTCCTTATGAGAAGTCACGATCCGACACTTATTTTAGTCTGCGCGTGGCCCGCCCCTGTTACTTTATTATTGACCACTTCCGTCCGTGCCTCTCTCCCGCACCGCGCACTTGTATCAGCAGTCGCAGTGTTGGTGAGCCCACAAGTTGACCCCTGGCCAACATGAGTAATAAATAAACGTCGCTGGAGAGCTTCTTTGAAAAGGGGGAATGACCCAATGATAAACTCCCCCCCCCCCCCCCCCCCGGTCCGTGAAAAAATTGTCTTCCACGAAACCGGTTCCCTGGTGCCAAAAAGTTTGGCGACCCGGTGCCTTCTGCGTTCTCCGGCGTTCGTTTTTAGTTTTTTGACCGGCTGGCGGTCGCGCGGCGTCGTCTCTGCGACCCGCGTTCCGCTCCGTCCCCCTCGCTCCGCTCCGCCGCCGCCGCCGGAAGAGAGCCGCTTCGCCAACCCGAATTCGGCTTCGACTAAAAGTCCCGACGAGCTCAGTGCCTGGCGGGACAGCTCCGTGGCGCGTTTGAGCCGACGGCAAATGCCCGCGGGAGCATCGGGTGTCTTGTCACGCTCGCGGTTTTGGTGTCCACGCCGCTGCGGAGGGATCCGTGAGTTTGGGTCACCTCCTGCACCGAGCCGTGCCGCTGCCAGGGGTACAGAGGGCAGCGATCGGGGGACGCGCGTGCGGCAAGCGTCAGGAGAGTGGATAATCGACGGAGGCGTCGCCGCTCGTCATTGTGCGGCGTGTCAACAAAGACAACGATCAACCCGCATGGCCTTCGACGCGACTCCGGTTGCCCTTCGGTGGCAAGCGCTGTCCAAGGCTGGCGCGGCACACGTGGGAGCCGCCGCGTCTCTCCTCGGTGCCGATGTTTACACAACTGCAGCTGGCACGCACGTGTGAAGGCTGAGTTGACCTAGGGGAAGGCCCCAGGACCGGTTCAATTGTTCGCTGCCGTTACCGGCCGCGAGCGGGAAGTGAACTCGGGCTAAGTGCGCTAACCGTGACACCACCGCACACACGCACACAAAGATCCCCGTGTAGCCTTAACAGACTGTAGGGGCAAGTGCTGTGAGCGAGCACCTATGAAGTCCGGCACGGCACACGAGGGGGTGGGTGGCCAGTACCACGCCCGACCGCCTTTGTCCGCCCAGTGGCGATGTTTTTACACATCGCACCAGGTACTCATTTGATGCTGAGTCGACCTAGGGGAGGCCCGGGACCAGTTAAGATAATCGTCACTGGTGTTGTTGGCCGTGAGCGGGAATCGAACTTGGGTCGCCGGGTTCGTAGCGCAGCGTAGCGCTAACCGCTACACTACCGTTCGCACGCAGCTCACACAACAACAACAACAACCGCCATTCGCCACTAAGTGGCAGTGACGTCACCACGATGCTTGTGCCAGGCCAAGTGCACCTTAAGGCCACGTGAAGTGTCGAACGCCCGCTGGCAGGAGGTCACGGGGCAGACCCAGGTGCCACGGGTCGACTGACCGAGATGACCGAGATGACTGGCTGATGCACCACCTGTGCCCCCTACTGTACCAACTTGCTGTGCTTTAGCCACCCGGCGCTCCGCTCATGAACACACACGTGAACACGCACGCTCCCGAGGAGTGTATACATCGTTAGTAGGGGGGGCAGGGAGCCCCCTGGAAATGTCTCCCCATGGCCCCCAAATAGTCCAGCACCACCACTCATCAGTGCTGTGCCAATGTGCTCGTACATCTGCACAGCACGACCTACTGTGCTCTGCCCCTCGGGACAGAAAGCAATTTTACATATCCCATCAGCCGCGACATCCCGTCTGGGAGAGCCGCGTTAATGTCGTCAGCAGCGTTTCGTCCAACGCAAAGCAATAACTCTGCGGGGCGATTACCAATGTTCGGCCGTCGTTCACCAGTAGTGCGGCACACCGTGTACCCCGCGCACCGCGTCTGCTGCGAGTGCTTTACCCCCCCCCCCCGCTGTACAGTGCAGTGCTTTTGCCCTCGGTTGCCACAGGGACACACGGGGCGGACTTTTGCCAAAAGTGACAGAAAGCGGCGGCCGGGTTTTTCCACGCCAAGATCAGCATCGTTGCCTCGTTTCAAGCGAGCGAGTAAAAAAAGCGGCCTCCCTCGAGTGATTTCATTTATTTCGTCAACTTTTTTTCTTCTCGTTTTCAAAGGCGGCAAACGGGGTTTGCCGCGCGCCTCCCTCGGCGGAGGCGGTCTGCAGAGTGGCTTGGCGGAGCATCGTAGCCGCAAGACGAGGCGATCCCATCAAGGGGTTCGGGCGTTGCTGAGGGGTGGGTGGGTGGGAAGGTGTTTTTAGTGGCCACCAGATTGTGCCAGAGCGCATGTCTAATGTGACGAAGATCACCCCTCGCCCCGCCGCCCGTATCGCCTGAACGGACAAGCGCCGTTCAGCGAGCTGCACCTGCGAAGGCTGCCCTGGTCTCCAGACAATGACGACAAGAACAACAACTGCCATTCGCCACTAAGTGGCGGTGACGTCACCACGACGCTTGTGCCAGGCCATGTGCACCTTGAGGCCACGTGAAGTGTCGAACGCCCCCTGGCAGGAGGTCACGGAGCAGACCCAGCAGGTGCCACGAGTCGACTGACTGAGATGACGGACAACGACACACACACACAGACACACACCACAAGATTAGTTTCCTTGTCATTATGAACAAGCGGACATTACTACGTCTTTTACACATCCCATCAGCAACGTGGCCTTCCCTTCTACTGGGAGCGCATCATATTCTGCGGCGTTGGTTCAATGCGAGGAGAATTCTTGAGAGCGCTTTCAACATTCTTCAGTCTTATCAGCGGACTCGGGCTTGCTTGGGGCAATGCTTGTGAACTGCCAGATGTTGTAGGGGCATGGACCCACCCCTCTCTGTTAGATATGGCTTCTCATTTTTTATCGGCAGCGTAAGTCCGATCAGTGTTTTTGTTTCCGCAGTGCGTCCACGCGGGACGGGAAGTCGTGCGCTGTGAAGGTCACCACGTTGCACTCGCAATCGAGAGGGCATCTACTCGATTCTATCTCCCGGTGCCACCGCAGGTTAAAACAATGGGGGGGGGGCGAGTTTTTGAACTCCCCCCCCCCTCTCCCCCCCGCCCAGCGAACGGCTCGGCGTGAGGGAGGCGACGAGCCATTTCCTCCCCCGATGCTTCCTCGCTTCTCCCCCCCTTCCCGCTCGACACAAACGGGGGCCGCCCTTCCCTCCCCTTCCTTCCCCTCCCCTCCCCGCCCGGTTTCCACGAGGCTCCTGCGCCTACTGGAGGATGGAGCCCCTCGCGATCGCGCGGGGAGGTTCGCCAGCCGCCCACGGGGGAGGCAAAGTGCCTCGTCGCTGGCGGCCAACTTTCGTTTCGCGTAAGCCTTCGCTGAGCGGTGTACAGCTGAGCGGTGTACAGCTGAGCGGTGTACAGCTGTGCGGTGTACAGCTGAGCGGTGTACAGCTGAGCGGTGTACAGCTGAGCGGTGTACAGCTGAGCGGTGTACAGCTGCGCGGTGTACAGCTGAGCGGTGTACAGCTGAGCGGTGTACAGCTGAGCGGTGTACAGCGCACACGGCTCTCTCGGAGCAGAGATGTCGACGTCTATTTGCCTACGACGCCCGTCATCGTTCCCGTGGATTGCGTCGCTCGCAATCGCCGGGGTAACCACGGACCCGCAAAGCGGCCAGCCAGGCAGCGAGGGTGCCCGCCGCAACCAACGATTGCCCGAGCTCTGCTGTCCCCTCTATCAGGATGCTTTTCGATGCTGCTTGACGAGTTGTTTACGGGCGTGGGAGGAAACCGGAGCATCTTGAGGGATGCACTTGCATGGAAGTGATGGCTCGTGGTAGTCCGCACTTTGCTGCATTGCCTTCTATTGAGCCGGGGTACGGCTCCGGCTGGACGCCCACGGGAGAGGGGAGTTTCACGACATCTCTGCCAGTGATCTGCTGCCTCTGCAGCTCCTCGACTTACGAACGAGTTCCAAAGGTTCATTCGTAAGGGAACAAGTTCGCAAGTCCAAATTTACTGCTGGCAATTCCAAACATGTTGTACGGCATGTACACTAAACACGGGGAATGGCTTTAATCGTTGTATAATCTCCTGTAGATGCCGCTGGTTCTTCACGCTCGGCAGTTGTACCGAGGTGTGCGTATTAGCCACACAATACCACGACTGCTACGACTCCGTGCCGCCTGCCGCACAGCTCGACGTTCTAGATGCCGCGGCGTCTGCCGCGAGAGGAGACCATCGCGTGCCGGCCTCACTGGCCACATTTGGCAAAATTAAAAAAAATTACACCGCAAATTACTCGCTTGGGATCACACATGGCAACAATCATCGCCGCCCCTATCCCCCACGCCCCCACCCCCGCGCCCCCCCCGTGCCCCCAACCCTCCCCCCCGCGCCCCCACCCCCTACTGCTAGACTTGTGCCTGTTTGCAAAGCCAGTTGCCATGTGTCGCACAGGTACGGCCGCGACTGGGGGCTGCTGGTAGGGCGTTGTTGTGGTTGATGTTGTTGTGGTTGATGTTGTGGTTGATGTTGTGGTGGTGGTGGTTGTGGCGCAGGCTGGGGAGGTGACGGAGTGGGGCGAGGAGAGGGAAGAGGGAGCCATCTACACCGTGTGTCTCCGCCGGGTCCACATCACACAGGGCCTGAGCAAGGGGGCACGCTGGCTCGGGGTGAGGGGACTTCACCGGGGACCATCACCGGGGGTCATCACCGGGGGACATGACACGCCATATCACTTACAACATCACGCGACATGGACAACATCACGGAGTACGAATGTGTATCTGTGTCTAGTGTCTGATTGTGTCCGTGCGTCTGATTGTCTGACTGTGACTGTGCATCTGATTGTCTGACTGTGACTGTGCGTCTGATTGTCTGACTGTGAATGTGCGTCTGATTGTCTGACTGTGACTGTGCGTCTGACTGTGACTGTGCGTCTGATTGTCTGACTGTGACCGTGCGTCTGATTGTGACTGTGCGTCTGATTGTGACTGTGCGTCTGATTGTCTGACTGTGACTGTGCGTCTGACTGTGACTGTGCGTCTGACTGTGACTGTGCGTCTGACTGTGACTGTGCGTCTGACTGTGACTGTGCGTCTGACTGTGACTGTGCGTCTGACTGTCTGCCCGCCCGCCCACCCCCCCAGGCGGTTGAGAGCGGCGAGGAGGGCGGCGGCTTCGTGGAGAGCCGCTCGGACACGCGGCGAGCGCGCGTCCTGCGCGCCGCCACGCTCGAGCGCCTGGTGGAGCATCTGCTGGCGTCGCGGCGCCTGCACGACTCCTCCTTCGTCACCGTCTTCCTCGCCACCTTCCGCACCTTCGCCACGCCGCTCCGCGTCCTGCAGATGCTGCTCGACAGGTGCCCCCCCCCCCCGCCGCCTTAGCCGGTGCTCGTCGCGGTTCGAACCCCGGGGAGGCCGCCCCGGTTATATTGTCGCGAAGGTGCCAAACGTCGCCGACTGCGGCGACGGTGCCGCCGTCCGTCCCTTCGCGGTCCACCTCCCCCCCCCCGCCGACGAAGAATGTCGGCGTCGAACCGACGCTGCAGAGCATGATGCGCTCCCGGAAGAAGGAAGGCCGTGTGGCCATTGGGATGTATACAATAACGTCGACTTTTATTCGCGTTGAAGTTTTTTACTTGGGAGGTACAGATATGGGAAGGAGGCTCATGGTATTGTCTGCTTGTTTATGACAAGAAAATTGTCTGGTGGTGTCTGTGTACACGTGTGTGTTTGTGTGTACACGTGTGTGTGAACACATGTGTGCGTGTGTTCGTATGTGTACACATGTGTATGTGTACACGTGTGTGTGTGTAAACGTGTGAGTCTGTGTACACGTATGTGTGTCTGTGTGCGGTAGTGTAGCGGTTAGCGCGCTGCGCTATGAACCTGGCGACCCGGGTTCGATTCCCGCTCACGGCTAACACCAGTGACGATTATCTGAACCGGTCCTGGGCCTCCCCTAGGTCGACTCAGCCTTAAATGAGTACCTGGTGCGGTGTGTAGTAAACATCGCCACTAGGGAGACAAAGGCGGTCGGGCGTGGTGCTGGCCACCCACCCCCTCGTGTACCGTTCCGGCCTTCATAGGTGCTCGCTAACAGCACTTGCCCCTACAGTCTGTTCAGGCTATACGGGGGATCTTTATCTTTGTGTGTGTACATGTGTGTGTATCTATATTCACGGGGAGCGGTAGTGTAGCGGTTTGCGCGCTGTGCTACGAACTCTGCGACCTGGGTTTGATTCCTGCTCGTGGCCAACACCAGTGACGATTAATCCGAACCGGTCCTGGGCTTCCCTCAGGTCGACTCAACCGCAAATGAGTACCCAGTGCGGTGTGTAAACATCATCGCTAAGGAGACAAAGGCGGCCGGGCGTGGTTTTGGCCACCCACCCCCTCGTGTGCCGTGCCGGCCTTCATCGGTGCTGCTGCTCGCTGAACAGCGCTTGCCCCTTTGGCGACAGCGCTCTCGCGTGGACGGCGATGACCTCTCCTGACCTCACACTGCTGAAGCGCCGTTACCGTATCATCGTACGTGCCGGGGTCCGCCAGGTACCACGCTAATGTGCCCGCCCGCCCGCCTCTGTGCCGCGCAGGTTTGCCACCCTGCAGGGCCTCGTGAGCGCCGAGGAGCTGGAGCAGAGCCAGTCCCAGGCCGCGACCGAGGAGCTCAACGGGTAAGGGGCGTGTGTGTGCCTCCTCACCTGCAGAGCCCATCACGTGTGTGTGTGTGTCTCCTCACCTTGCAGAACCCATCACGTGTGTGTGTGTGCCTCCTCACCTGCAGAACCCATCACGTGTGTGTGTGTCTCCTCACCTTGCAGAACCCATCACGTTTGTGTGCCTCCTCACATTGCAGAGCCCCTCACACCTGTGTGTGCCCCCTCGCCTTGCAGAGCCCCTCACACCTGTGTGTGCCCCCTCGCCTTGCAGAGCCCCTCGTGTGTGTGTGCCCCCTCGCCTTGCAGAGCCCCTCGTGTGTGTGTGTGCGGGCAACCCAGGCACTCGCAGTAATGGCCACGAGTCGTCGTCGTCATCGTTGTTAACCCCTGTGGCTTTATCGCAGCCACGTCACCACGCGACTTTGAAGCGTCCGGCGTGTGTGGAATAGTGTTTCACACAAGAGACAAAGATCGCCCTTGTAGCCTTAAACAGACTTTTAGGGCAAGTGCTGTTAGCGAGCAGCATCTATGAAGGCCGACACGCACACGAGGGGTGGGTGGCCAGCACCACGCCCGGCCGCCTTTGTCTCCCCAGTGGCGATGTTTACACACCGTATCAGGTGCTCATTTGAGGCTGAGTCGACCTACGGGAAGCCCAGGACCGGTTCAGATAATTGTCACTCTCGGCCGTGCGCTGGCATCGAACTCGGGTCGCCGGGTTCGTAGCGCAGCGTAGCGCTAATCGCTACGCTACCGCTCCCCACACACATACCCACACACACACATATACCGTACCGTGTAACCGAATCCAACTCTGAAAGTGAAACCAGAACTTGGTGGTGCGACTGACTGTTGTGGTTGTACTACGGGCCGGGACAGCCTGTTGTTGCTCACACGTGGTGACACACACACAAGTGCACAAGCGGCTAACCGGGCGGGCTGTATGGGTGGGTGGGCGGCGTTTTGTGGGGCGCCTGGCTCTCTGCAGGTGCCTCTGCTCCATCCTGGGGGCCTGGCTGGACGGCTACGGCGAGGACTTCCGCGAGCCGCCCGACTTTGAGAGCCTGCGGCTGCTGCTGTCGCACGCGGCGCACTCGCTGCCCGGCTCCGACGTGGAGCGGCGCGCCCACACGCTCCTCGCCCAGCTGCAGCAGCCGCAGCAGCAGCAGCAGCAGCAACTGGGCACTGCGTGGAGTGAGGACCCCCCGCACCTCTCCATCCCGCCCCCCCCCCCCTGCCCTACCGCCACCCCCACCCCCTGCCGCCACACCGTGTTCCGCTGTCACCATGACATCGTCGTCGTCGCCATTTCTCTCCGTCGCCTCGGTTTGCCCGAATCGTTTTTCGTCCCTTTCCGTTGCTTCCATCCAGAGGATGTCGCGGTGGCTACGAGATGGTAATTGCCTCGCCAGGCATACAGGAGGTCGTGGGTTCGGTCCAGACCCTGACGCCTGCTGTGTATTTGGAGTTTGTGGTGTATATCTCCCCGTGGTCGCGTGGATTCTTCTCCGGTTTCCCCCCCGCCACATTTAAAATCAACGTCGCGCATTCCGAGCATTTGGCTGCTACGCATATTCGCGTGACGACGGTGAGGCATTTCGCCGCCGCCGCCGGTACGAGCGAGCGAGCAGTTTTTCCAGGGGCCTGCATCTTCAACCTCCGTGACGGCGATGGAACCCGTCCGTGTTGGCCTCCGCAGGGAGCTCGGGAGCCGTGGGTCCGTGGCCGGCGGGGGAGACGCGTCCCGACTTTCTGTCGTTCTCCGCCGACGTTGTGGCATCGCAGCTCACCTTCATGGACGCCGTGAGTCGCGCCGGCCATGACGAGGCTTGGTGGGGGTTGGTGGTGGTGGGGGGGGGTGGGGTCAGGAAAGACACAGATGGGAGGCCTAATCAGGAAGGGGTCGGGGGGCTAATCAGGAAGGGAAGGGAATAGGCGGGACCTAATCAGCGAGGGGCGGGGCTTAGTCAGGAAGGGGCGGGGCCTAAGGAGTATGGAGGGCGCCTCCAATGGAGGCTGAACTTCCCTGTTGAGTTCAGGTAACAGAAGCAAAGAATCAAACACGTACAGCAGCAGGCAGAAGCAGAACCAGGCAGCAGAAGCAGCAGCAGGTAGCAGCAGCAGCAGCAGGCAGCAGCAGCAGGTAGCAGCGGCAGGCAGCAGCAGCAGGCAGCAGCGGCAGCAGCAGGCAGCAGCAGGCAGCAGCAGCAGCAGGCAGCTTAAGCAGCAGCGTAGCTTTTGTGCCGCAGATGCAGCCGCAGGCCGACGGGCAAACGTTAAAGTCCCTGGTCAGCGTCAGCGTCGTTAGGAGTCGCCGTCGCTGTCGGCGTCCTCACGTCCCCCGTACTCATGCCACCGTCTCCCCAGGAACTCTTCAAGCGAGTGGTTCCGCACGACTGCCTGGGCAGCGTGTGGTCGCGCCGGGACCTCTGCGGCGGCGCCGGCGGCGGCGGCGGCGGCCGCTCGGGGTCGGTGAGAGCCACCGTGCGGCAGTTCAACGCCGTGGCGGGGTGCGTGGTGTCCACCGTGCTGGACGGGGCCCTCGCTCGACCCGCTCACAGGGCCAAGGTCATCCAGCGCTGGGTGACGGTCGCACAGGTGAGCCAGCCGCCCTGCGGACCCGCCAGAGACACGCGAGTTCGATTCCCGGTCGCCGCCACCCAACACCCGCGACGATTGTCTGAACCGGTCCTGGGCCTCCCCTAGGTCGACTCGGCCTCCAATGAGTACAGATAGTCCCCGAGTTACGATGGTCCGACTTATCATATTTCGATCTTACGATGGCGATACGGCTAAAATTGTTAAATATTTTAAATTTGCGCCGGCAGGCAAACGCAGCGGCGTACGAGGTACGATACGCATCTCCCGCCTTGTGTGGTGCAGATAGGATTGTTTCCTGAAGAAAGCTTTCTATTCAATTGCAGTTCATATAGGTAGGCTAAGAATTTACCCTGTTTTTTTACTTAACATTTTACTGTGCAATACAGTATTGTAATTAATAAATACATACAGTATATAGTGTATACAGTACGCTACTGCAAATTGCTCTGTTTTGCTAAATTATCACCATTCTTTAAGACTCCTGGGTAGGCTAGGCCATCTTCGACTTACAATATTTTTGACTTACGATGGGGTCGTCGTAACGCACCTCCATCGTAAGTAGAGGACTACCCAGTCCTCGGTGTGTAAACATCGCCACTGGGGAGACAAAGGCGGCCGGGTGTGGTGCTGGTCACCCACCCCCTCCGTGCACTCTCTCGACAGCACTTGTCCCAACAGTCCGTTAAGGCTATACGAGAGGTCTTTGTCTCGTGGAAGAGTAGGCCAAAAATGCCCTTTCGGAGAGCGGCGGGTCTCTTACACGCGCTCGACTGGGAGACCCTTCCACCAGCAGGGGCACGGGCAAAGAGATTGCAGGGCTGCGACTTTATGCTGTTTACAACGGCCTCCTAAGCAACCCCTTGTTAAGATGTGATAACAACAACAACAATAACAACAACAACAATAACAACAATAATAACAATTTAATTCATTAACCTGGGGAGGAGCCGCACTGGGTCAGTTTCAGGAGGGTGAAGCTACTGCTGCTGCTGCTGATGTTTTGGGGCTTTTATCTGTACGATGTGTTCAGGAAACCAGAGCACCCGGAGACCATTAGCATATTAAACCATTACCCCACCCCCCTCTCTCCACCCCCCTCCCTTCCCCCCCTCTCTCCACCCCCCTCCCTTCCCCCCCTCTCTCCACTCCCCCCCTCCCTTCCCCCCCTCCCTTCCCCCCCTCCCTTCCCCCCCTCCCTTCCCCCCCCTCCCTTCCCCCCCTCTCTCCACTCCCCCCCTCCCTTCCCCCCCTCCCTTCCCCCCCTCTCTCCGTCCCCCCCTCTTTCCCCCTCCCCTCGTGCAGGAATGCCGCCTGCTAAAGAACTTCTCGTCGCTGCGTGCGGTCGTCTCTGCGCTGCAGTCCAACCCCATCTACAGGCTCAAGCGCACCTGGGCTGTGGTGGCGAGGTGCGTGCGTGCGTGTGTGCGTGCGTGTGTGTGTGTGTGTCAGGGTGTGTGTCGGTGTGTGTGTGTGTCAGGGTGTGTGTGTGTGTCGGTGTGTGTGTGTGCGTGCGTTTGTGCTTGTGTTTGTGTGTGTGTCAAGGTATGCGTGTGTGTGCGTGTGTGTCGGTGTGTGTGTGTGCGTGTGTGTCGGGGTGTGTGTGTGCGTGCGGGTGTGCGTGTGCGTGCGTGTGTGTCGGGGTGTGTGTGTGCGTGCGTGTGTGTCGGGGTGTGTCTGTGCGTGCGTGCGTGTCGGGGTGTGTGTGTGTGCGTGTGTGTCGATGTGTGTGTGTGCGTGCATGTGGGTCGGTGTGTGCGTGTCGGTGTGTGCGCATGTGTGTCGATGTGTGTGTGTGTGTGTCGGTGTGTGTGTGCGTGCGTGCATGTGCGTGAGATTGTAAGCGGTTGCCGCGCTGCGCTACGATCCCCCTGCCACCCGAGTTTGATTCCCGCCCGCGACCACTCACAGGGCCGGATATCCGAACCAGTCCTAGGCCTCCCCTAGGTCGTTACAGATGTGCAGTCGGGGCACGGGGTGAGATCGTTATAACGACAAACACATTGTATTACAAAGTACAGGAAAGGTAAACGAATGGCCCAAACACATCCAAATGAAACTGAACCATCCCCATTCTCCCAAAGCCTACCGAGGTGTTGACTGATTGTCCAACAGCGGCCTGGCCACAAATGATGTCTCAACAATGTTGCTTATCATTTGAACATTTTGTAGCAGCACGATAATCTAAATAGGCTAGAGACTCATGGGCTGACGTAGACTCACATAGATACCCACCGAATCGCAGAGACCCACAGACTCACATGGAGGCCCATAGAATCGCATGGAGACCCATAGACCCGTACAGAGGCCCATGGACTCGCACAGATGCCCACATTCTCACACAGGCACCCACAGACTCAGACCCATAGGCTCACGTAGACTCACATTGATACCCACCGAATCGCAGAGACCCATAGACCCACGTGGAGACCTATAGACTCGTACAGAGGCCCATGGGCTCCCGTAGACTCGGGTGGGATGAGCGCGAGCGTGGGCGCGAGGACGGGCGTGACGCTGCCGGGGGGTGGGGTCCTTCCCGCCGGCGCAGGGACACGAGCGCGCTGTTCGAGGAGCTCTCCGACATCTTCTCGGGAGACAACAACCACCTGAACAGCCGCGAGTTGCTCCTCAAGGAGGCGAGCTCCAAGTTCGCGACGCTCGAGAGCCACATCAAGGACAACCACAAGAAGGTGCAGAAGCGCCTGCAGATGCAGAAGGAAACGGTGAGCGCGCGGTGAGCGGACGGGCGGTGAGCGCGCGGTGAGCGGGCGGTGAGCGCGCGGTGAGCGGGCGGTGAGCGGGCGGTGAGCGGGCGGTGAGCGAGCGGTGAGCGCGCGGTGAGCGGACGGGCGGTGAGCGAGCGGTGAGCGCGCGGTGAGCGCGCGGTGAGCGAGCGGTGAGCGAGCGGTGAGCGCGCGGTGAGCGCGCGGTGAGCGCGCGGTGAGCGCGCGGTGAGCGCGCGGTGAGCGCGCGGTGAGCGCGCGGTGAGCGCGCGGTGAGCGCGCGGTGAGCGAGCGGTGAGCGCGCGGTGAGCGAGCGGTGAGCGCGCGGTGAGCGAGCGGTGAGCGAGCGGTGAGCGCGCGGTGAGCGAGCGGTGAGCGAGCGGTGAGCGCGCGGTGAGCGAGCGGTGAGCGAGCGGTGAGCGCGCGGTGAGCGGGCGGTGAGCGCGCGGTGAGCGTGCGGTGAGCGGACGGGCGGTGAGCGAGTGGTGAGCGCGCGGTGAGCGGACGGGCGGTGAGCGAGCGGTGAGCGGGCACGCGGTGAGCGAGCGGTGAGCGGGCGGGCGGTGAGCGAGCGGTGAGCGGGCAGGCGGTGAGCGAGCGGTGAGCGCGCGGTGAGCGGGCGGTGAGCGGGCGGTGAGCGAGTGGTGAGCGGGCGGTGAGCGCGCGGTGAGCGGGCGGTGAGCGGGCGGTGAGCGAGCGGTGAGCGCGCGGTGAGCGCGCGGTGAGTGGGCGGTGAGCGAGTGGTGAGCGGGCGAGCGAACTGGCGATGCGGCGTTGAAGGAGCCCAGACGACCACAGTGGGTTCACCGTGCGGTCCGTAGCTGTGGGTTGCATGGCCACAGTCGCACCGCTGTGACCCACGTTTTTAATTTGACGCATATGAAGGAGATGCGCGCATCGGCCTGCTGATGTTCCAATGCGATTGCCGGTCCCACCGGTGGTGAGTGAATTAGTGAGTCAGTTGCTGGTCCCACCGGTGGTGAGTGAGTGAATTAGTGAGTCAGTTGCTGGCCCCACCGATGGTGAGTGAGTGAATTAGTGAGTCAGTTGCTGGTCCCACCGGTGGTGAGTGAGTGAATTAGTGAGTCAGTTGCTGGCTCCACCGGCGGTGAGTGAGTGAATTAGTGAGTCAGTGGCTGGTCCCACCGGTGGCTTTGTGGAGGAGAAGAAATGTCAACGCCAGGAGGGGGTGCGGTGACGTTTTGGTGGTGAGTGAGGAGGTGTTTATTCTGGGCTTCCGCGTTGTTCCACTCTGTGCTGAACGTCGTCGTCGTTGTTGTCGTTGTGTGGCAGGGCGCTGTGCAGGGGACTGTCCCCTACCTGGGCACGTTCCTCACCGACCTCACCATGCTGGACACCGCACTGCCTGACCACGTGCAGGTAAGGGGCGCTCACTCACCCACACGCACACTCTCGCACACGCACACTCACGCACACTCACCCACACGCACACACACGCACACGCACACTCATCCACACGCACACTCACCCACACGCACACTCACCCACACGCACACTCACCCACACGCACACTCTCGCACCCACTCACTCACCCACACGCACACTCACCCACACGCACACTCACGCACACTCATCCACACGCACACTCACCCACACGCACACTCACCCACTCACTCACACGCACACTCACCCACACGCACATTCTCGCACCCACTCACTCACGCACCCACTCACTCACCCACACGCACACTCACCCACCCACTCACTCACCCACACGCACACTCTCGCACCCACTCACTTACCCACACGCACACTCACCCACACGCACACTCACGCACACGCACACTCATCCACACGCACACTCACCCACACGCACACTCACCCACTCACTCACACGCACACTCACCCACACGCACATTCTCGCACCCACTCACTCACGCACCCACTCACTCGCCCACACGCACACTCACCCACCCACTCACTCACCCACACGCACACTCACCCACCCACTCACTCACCCACACGCACACTCACCCACCCACTCACTCACCCACACGCGCACTCACCCACACGCGCACTCACCCACACGCGCACTCACTCACACGCACACTCACCCACACGCACTCACCCACCCGCTCACTCACCCACACGCACACTGAGGTCCGCCGTGTTGCCTTAGGGCAAGTGCTGTGTGTGAGCACCTATGAAGGCCGGCACGGCACATGAGGGGGTGGGTGGCCAGCACCACGCCCGGCCGCCTTTGTCTCCCCAGTGGCGATGTTTACACACCGCACCAGGTACTCATTTGAGGCTGAGTCGACCTAGGGGAGGCCCAGGACCGGTTCAGATAATCGTCACCGGCGTTGGCCGTGAGCGGGAATCGAATTCGGGTCACCGGGTTGGTCGTACAGTGTGCTGACCACTACACTCGCACTAAACTCACGCACTCGCTCGCACTCACTCACCCACCCACTCAATCGCACTCACCCACACACTCACTCACCCACTCACTCAATCGCACTCACCCACACACTCACTCACCCACTCACTCACCCACACACTCACTCACTCACACACCCACTCACTCACACACTCACCCACACACTCACTCACACACCCACTCACTCACACACTCACCCACACACTCACCCACTCACTCACCCACACACTCACTCACTCACACACCCACTCACTCACACACTCACCCACACACTCACTCACTCACCCACTCACTCACTCGCACTCACCCACACACTCACTCACACTCGCACTCACTCGCATACTCACACTTACCCACACACTCACTCTTTCAGACTCGCTCTCACTCAACCACACACTCACTCGCATTCACTGTAGCCTTACATGCGAACTGCAGGTTTCCTCACACACATCAAGCCATGCTACGCCGAGTGGAATCGGCTAAACATTCATCGGCCGCGGGGCCTTCCCGACCGAGTGAGTCTCGGGACTCGGCAGGGCTTTCTTGGCTCGGCGCTAATACCTCGCTTAAAATCGCCGATGTTTATCGCTTTCATTCGTTTCATTTGTATGGCGTGTCACAGGGAGGACTCGTCAACTTTGAGAAGAGGAGACGGGTGGGTGCCTTCGTACACTCGGGCAGTCCGCACTAACCACCCATCATTCCCTCCACCCATCACTCCAACCACCCATCTATCCATCAATCAGTCAATACACACATCCATCCATCAATACATCCATCCATCAAGCTGTCCATCAATCCATATGTCTATCCAATGCTTGAAACCGTCCACCTTTCTGTCAATCCGTCCACTTACCATTTCATCCATCTGCACATCCTTTTTCCGTTCATCTGTCCATCACTGCCACCACCACCATCATTATTGTCACCACCACCACCATCATTATCATCACCACCCTCATCATTATCATCACCATCATCATTATCATCACCACCGTCATCATCACCACCACCCTCATCATTATCATCACCATCATCATTATCATCACCACCTTCATCATCACCACCACCGTCATCATCATCACCACCACCGTCATCATTATCACCACCACCACCATCATCATTATCATCACCATTATCATCATCATTATCATCATCACCACCACCACCATCATCATCATCACCACCACCATCATTACTATCACCACCATTATCATTATCATCACCATCATCACCATCATCATTCGCACCATAATAGTTTTTTTTAGGTTAGATCGCATAAATGTAACATTTATATTTCTATACATGTAATATGTTAAATGTAATATTAATATATTTGTATACATTTTGTATTTATATCAATATTAATTTAATATTTAAGCGGGGGAACCAAAAAAACACTTTTTATTATGTACGATATTGGTTGTGAAAGCCTCTCATTCGCACCACCGCCATCATCACCATCCAGTGATCCGTCAGTCCATAATTCCTCCCCTTCATCCGCCCGCCCCTCCTTCCCTGCCCGCCCCGCCCTCTCCGCCTGCCCCACCCGCCCCGCCCGCCCCGCCTGCCCCGCCTGCCCCGCCTGCCCTGCCTGCCCTGCTTTCCCCGCCTGCCCCACCCGCCCCGCCCTCCCCGCCTGCCCCGCCCGCCCCGCCCGCCCCGCCTGCCCCGCCCGCCCCGCCTGCCCCGCCCGCCCCGCCTGCCCCGCCCGCCCCGCCCCGCCCGCCCTGCCCGCCCCGCCTGCCCCGCCTGCCCTGCCTGCCCTGCCCTCCCCGCCCGCCCCGCCCGCCCCACCCGCCCCGCCCGCCCCGCCCGCCCCGCGCGTCTCGACCGTGCGTGTCGCTGCGTCTCCGCCTCAGGAGTTCGAGGTGCTGGCCCAGATCAAGCTGCTGCAGTCGGCGTGCAACAGCTACAGCCTCCGCCCCGAGGAGCGCTTCCTCGCCTGGTTCCACAGCCAACCGAGCCTCTCCGAGGAGCAGAGGTACCTAGTGTGTGTGCGTGCAGCAGAGGTACCCGGCGGCGGTGGCGGCGCGGGCGGTGGCGAGCTTCTCCCAGCGCGAGGGGGGAAGAGCAATGGATTGGAGTGGCCCAGCGAGTGGTGGTGACGACGCTGACGACGACGATGACCGTGATGGTCACGCCGATGGCGGTGGCGATGATGTTGATGATGATGGTACAGTGATGGTCATGTAGACGGTGGTGGCGATGATGATGATGATCAGGGCGATGACGATGATGACAATGATGATGCTGGCGACGATGATGATGACTGTGATGGTCACGCCGTTGGTGGCGATGATGACGGCGATGACGACGGCGATGACGACGATGCTGTTGTGTTCCAGCTACTTGTTGTCGCGCCAGCTGGAGCCGCCCGTGGAGAGCACGCTGTCCCCGTGCCCCCGCAAGAAAGTGATCCGCCACTTCAGCGGGTGAGACAGATGGGCGTCGCTAGCGCTCACCCGCCCACCCGCTCACCCGCTCGGCCGCTCACCTCTCACCCGCTCCCCCGTTCTCCCACTCACCCGCTCACCCGCTCACCCGCTCACCTGCTTACCCGCTCCCCCGCTCACCCGCTCCCCCACTCACCCGCTCCCCCACTCAGCTGCTCACCCGCTCACCCGCTCACCTGCTTACCCACTCCCCCGCTCACCCGCTCCCCCGCTCACCCGCTCACCCGCTCCCCCGCTCACCTGCTTACCCACTCCCCCGCTCACCCGCTCACCTCTCCCCCGCTCACCCGCTCACCTCTCCCCCGCTCACCCGCTCACCCACTCACCCGCTCACCCGCTCACCCACTCACCCACTCACCCGCTCGCTGCTCACCCGCTCACCTCTCCCCCGCTCACCCGCTCCCCCACTCACCCGCTCCCCCGCTCACCCACTCACCCGCTCCCCCGCTCACCCGCTCACCTCTCCCCCGCTCACCCGCTCACCCGCTCACCCGCTCACCTGCTTACCCACTCCCCCGCTCACCCGCTCACCTCTCACCCGCTCACCTGCTTACCCACTCCCCCGCTCACCCGCTCACCTCTCCCCCGCTCACCCGCTCACCAGCTCACCCGCTCACCCGCTCACCTGCTTACCCACTCCCCCGCTCACCCGCTCACCTCTACCCACTCACCCGCTCACCCACTCACCCGCTCACCCGCTCACCCACTCACCCCGCTCGCTGCTCACCCGCTCACCTCTCCCCCGCTCACCCGTTCCCCCACTCACCCGCTCACCCGCTCCCCCGCTCACCCGCTCACCCACTCACCCGCTCGCTGCTCACCGGCTCACCTCTCCCCCGCTCACCGGCTCACCTCTCCCCCGCTCACCCATTCCCCCACTCACCCGCTCCCCCACTCACCTGCTCACCCACTCACCCACTCACCCGCTCCCCCACTCACCCGCTCACCCTCTTATCCGCTCATCCACTCGCCGTTCGCATTGCCGTGTACAGGAGGTCGTGGGTTCGATCCCGACCCTGATGCCTGCTGCTGTATATTTGGAGTTTGCGTGTCCCTCTCATCATCATCACGGTGGCTAGGAGATGTTAACTACCTCGCCTGGTGTACAGGAGGTCGTGGGTTCGACCCCGACCCTGACGCCTGCAGCTGTATGTTTGGAGTTTGCGTGTCTCTCTCTCTCTCCACGTGGTGGCGTGGATCGTTCTCCGGGTCCTCAGGTTTTACCCCTCACGCGTTTTGAGAATCGACGCGCGCTCACGAGTATTCGACTGCTGCTATGAATTTCCACTCCCTTTGAGCATACCATTTGTGATGGCTAGGTCGCTACTGAATAAGTAATATTTTTTTTAAACTTAAAAAAAACACGCTTTTCTGAATTGTACTAGTAATGGCAGAACTCCACGACTCCAGGAAATGGCCCCGAAGCTTGCTGTAACGTAGGGGCCGTGGCCAATTACAGCCAACGTGAGTTGACCGTGGACAATTAGACCCAAGCTGAAACATAACATATAAAAAATAATGTTTAAAAATATATATTTTGTTGTTTTTATGATAGAATTTAGTATTGTCATCGGTATGACGTACGTACACCAAGTTTGCAGTCGATACCACATTGGGAAGTGGGTTAAAATTTAGTTACAAGATTTGAGGATACAACAACGACAACAACAACAACAGACAGAGCGAGTTAAATGAAAGCGTGTAACAAGTTATCTCCGTCGCTCCGTGCGGCTCACCTGGTTAACTACATAATGTGTGAGTTTATAGTTTAGAAGAAGCGGAGTAATAATTGTTGTTGTTGTTGTCGTCCCACTCCCCGCCCCGATGTCCCTTCCTATCTCAGCAGCGTCTTCTCCGGAGTAATAATTGTTGTTGACGTTGTTGTTGACGTTGTTGTTGTTGTCGTCCCACTCCCCGCCCCGATGTCCCTTCCTATCTCAGCAGCGTCTTCTCCGGAGTAATAATTGTTGTTGTTGTTGTTGACATCGTTGTTGTTGTTGTCGTCCCACTCCCCGCCCCGGTGCCTCTCCCTATCTCAGCAGGGTCTTCTCCGGGGCCGACTCCCCGTTCCTGGCGGCCGAGGGGGGGGGGCCCAGGGTGCGGCGCTGCCAGTCGGGCCGCGTCGGCTCAAGCGGCAGCGCCTCGGAGGGGGAGGGCCCCCCCCCAACGCCGCCCCCCCCCTCCCCCACCGCCGCCGGGGGGCGGGCGGCCCCCCAAATCCGCACGAGCGGCTCGGAGCCGGAGATCCGCATCTTTGTGATGCCACCCGGCCCGGAGGGGTCAGAGGTGAGTGAGGGAGGGGGGTGGTGGGTGGGGGGGAGAGAGGGAGAGAGAGTGTGAGAGAAAGTGTGAAAGTGTGAGGGGGGGAGAGTGTGAGGGGGAGAGAGAGAGAGGGAGTGTGAGAGAGAGAGTGTGATAGAGGGAGTGTGGGAGAGTGTGAGAGAAAGTGTGAAAGTGTGAGGGGGGGAGAGTGTGAGAGAGAGTGTGAGAGTGTGAGAGAGAAAGTCTGAGAGAGAGTGTGAAAGTGTGAGGGGGGGAGAGTGTGAGGGGGAGAGAGAGAGAGAGGGAGTGTGAGCATGTGTGAGAGAGGGAGTGTGAGAGAGAGAGTGTGATAGAGGGAGTGTGGGAGAGTGTGAGGGGGAGTGTGTGAGCGAGTGAGCGAGTGTGAGAGAGAGAGTGTGATAGAGGGAGTGTGGGAGAGTGTGAGGGGGAGTGTGTGAGCGAGTGAGCGAGTGAGCGAGTGTGAGAGAGGGAGTGTGATAGAGGGAGTGTGGGAGAGTGTGAGAGGGAGTGTGTGAGCGAGTGAGCGAGTGTGAGAGAGAGAGTGTGAGAGAGGGAGTGTGGGAGAGTGTGAGGGGGAGTGTGTGAGCGTGTGAGCGAGTGAGAGTGTGAGAGAAGGAGTGTGAGACTGAACGTAGCTGGTTTTGAGCAACACAATCTCAGTGCTCAAAAATGCCTGCGAATCCCTGAGCGTAGCAGTCACAGCAACACCGCCCCTCCTGGGACAGCCTTGCAGGACCCTCCCGCTACACCAAGGATGTTGATGCTCTATCAAACCATCTTTTTAATGTCACCAGCTAATGCCCGCTGAGCCATATCGCTCTTCGTCAGAAGCGACTTTGCCATCACAAATGACAGCTCTACGAAGTGGCTTATCATCATCATCATCGTCGTCATCATCATCACCTGGAAATCTACCGCAGCCAAATACTCTCTAAACCCGTGGTTGATTGTAAATGTGGGGGGGGGGGAACCGGAGGACCCGGAGAAATATCCACGTGACCACGGGGAGAGAGAGAGACGCAGACTCCAAACACAGGGGGGTGCTTCAACAACATGTGAACACTTCCGAGAATTTGCAACAACGCCACGAGAAGTGGTGCCGCCTCCGGGCTCTGGGGACCACCTGGAGGAGATTCCAGGCACGCGTCGCAACGATGGCCAACACGTGGAGACTCTTTGACTTTTTGTAGCTATTAACGTGACATTTGTTATCGTGGTACAGTGTGTTGTTATTATCCGTTCCTTTTTCCATTAAAAACGATAGTCCCATATGAGTGTTAAACATTTTTTTGAAGCACCCTGTATACTGCGGCAGGCGTCCGGGTCGGGACGGAAGCCTCGCGAGGTCGTGAGTTTCCCGAGGAAACAAACGCAACAACAACAACGAATGATCCCCCGTCTCTCTCGCCGCGCTCCCACAATGCATCAGTGGGACGACACGGACACGGCTTTCGAGGGCAGCTCGGACGCATCGCTGGCTCCCCCCCCCCGGGCGGCCGCCTCCGCCTCGACGCCGGGGTCTCCCGAGAAGAGGCCCCGGGCCGCGGCGGCGACCGCCGTCGACGGCGCGATGCTGGCGGCCCCTTCGTCGAGGCCGGCGGGGGCGCGGACGCACAAGCGCTCGGGATCGGACGTGCCGAGCGCCGCGCGCGCCGCGTCGCCCGCGTGCAGCCGCCGCTCGGAGGGGGAGTGCATCGTGCGCGTCAGCCTGGAGAGGGCCAACGGCAACCTCTACAAGAGCGTGCTGGTGAGTCGTGACAGTGACACGCTGTGGCGCGCGTTCATGGTGACGCGCCGTGACGCACCGTGACACTTTCCCCTCTCTCTGTCCTCTCAGCTGACGAGCCAGGACAAGACGCCGGTGGCCATCCGCAAGGCCATGACCAAGCACAACATGGAGGCCGAGAATCCGGATGACTTCCTGCTCGTGCAGGTCATCGGCGAGGGCAAAGGTCAGAGGACAACGCTCGCAACGACCGTTTATCGAGCGTCCCACTTTCGTATCTTTATTCAATTGTAAAAAAATTAAAATTCTGCAATTTTATCATGATTGTGCGTTTGCCATTATATTTATTATTATTTTTAAATCACATTTGCTGAGCACAGGCCCAAAGGCCCAAAAACGCCAAGTGGCCAGCAACTACCAGCATCAATGGAGGTGCAATTTGGCCGGATGGCTCAGCGGTAGAGCGAGCGGCTCGCAGACCACCTCACCCAAGCCTCTCACAAACCACGTGACCCAAACATCTCACAAACCACGTGACCCAAACATCTCACAAACCACGTGACCCAAACATCTCACAAACCACGTGACCCAAACATCTCACAAACCACGTGACCCAACATCTCACAAACCACGTGACCCCAAACATCTCACAAACCACGTGACCCCAAACATCTCACAAACCACGTGACCCCAAACATCTCACAAACCACGTGACCCCAAACATCTCACAAACCACGTGACCCAACATCTCACAAACCACGTGACCCAAACATCTCACAAACCATGTGACCCAAACATCTCACAAACCACGTGACCCAACATCTCACAAACCATGTGACCCAAACATCTCACAAACCATGTGACCCAAACATCTCACAAACCACGTGACCCAACATCTCACAAACCATGTGACCCAAACATCTCACAAACCACGTGACCCAACATCTCACAAACCACGTGACCCCAAACATCTCACAAACCACGTGACCCCAAACATCTCACAAACCACGTGACCCAACATCTCACAAACCACGTGACCCAAACATCTCACAAACCATGTGACCCAAACATCTCACAAACCACGTGACCCAACATCTCACAAACCATGTGACCCAAACATCTCACAAACCATGTGACCCAAACATCTCACAAACCACGTGACCCAACATCTCACAAACCATGTGACCCAAACATCTCACAAACCACGTGACCCAACATCTCACAAACCACGTGACCCAAACATCTCACAAACCACGTGACCCCAACATCTCACAAACCACGTGACCCCAACATCTCACAAACCACGTGACCCAACATCTCACAAACCACGTGACCCAAACATCTCACAAACCACGTGACCCCAACATCTCACAAACCACGTGACCCAAACATCTCACAAACCACGTGACACAACATCTCATGATTTAGATTGTTTTGCTGCTATAAATATCCATGTGACTTGACACTTTGTTGAGCTATTGCTTGTGGCCAGGCCACTTCTGAAACATCAGTTAATGCCTCAGTGGTCTTTTCCTGGTGAGATAAAAAACTAGTTGTGTTTGTACATCTTTAAATGATTTATTTACATTTAAAGCTTTCGTGACTGCAGGGATTCTTATTCTTGGTTCTTTCGGTAAAGTCACGTTGAAGGGAAATAATAAAAGTAAAACAATACAATTCTCACGACGTTTTCATTACAACACAAGCAATCATATTTTTTTTATAAAATTCTTGCTCTGGTTTTCACACCTGATGATGATTGCTTGTGTTGCAATCATCATCCCTTCTACGTGACTTTACCGAAAGAACCAAGGATATAATTGATTTACCTTTCCTATCGTGTTTGTTGTATTGTTTGTTGTTGTGACGTTCTTACCCCGTGCCCCTACATCTGTAAAAAAGAGCTTTAAAGCTCATCGGATTCCTCCTGCAGTAGAAAGAAACAAACATTCTGATTCTGAATACCGGAGCTATCCAAAAGCACAGGTTCACCGAATTCCATGGAACAGAGAAGTGTGTCGCTTTACAATTGCCGTGCTCACCTCCCACGCCGGGTCACCTGTGCTGGGTGCCCCCCCCCCCCCCCCTCTCTGCCGTGCAGAGTTTGCGATCCCGGACGGCTCCAACGTCTACTACGCCATGGTCACCTCGCCCAGCTACAACTTCATTCTGCGCAAGCGCTCCTCGGGGCGCCGGCGGGGGGGGGCGGCACCCTCCTCGCCATCCCACCACTCCGCCTCCTCCGCCTCCTCCTCATCCTCCTTCTCCTCCGTCGCCGCTGCGGCCCCGCGGGCCCACGCCAGCGCCCGCGCCGCGCTGGCCGAGACGTTCTCGCGCCTCACGCTCTGAGCGGGCCTCACGCCCCGGTCGTCGCCGCCGTCGCCGCCAGCAGCAGCAGCAGCAGCAGCGTCCGCTCCTTTTTTAATCCACGGGCACAAAACGGAGCCACGCCGGTTTCTGGCTCGGCGAATGGCCGAGCGGAAAACCAGAAAACCACCGTGTCGTAGCGCGAGGGGGACCCCCCCCCCGCACGCCGGCTGGTGGTCGCGTGCGGCGGCACGAGTGGCGGTGCTGGTGGCGACGGTGGCGGTGGCCGGGGGGAACTGTCCACCTTGGGACCAAAGCTATCTGGAAAGAATCGCGCGCATCCAACACGGCGATGGGGACCGAGGGGGGCTCTGAGAGCGGCTCCGCCGAGGGGTGGGGGGCGCGGTGAACGTTTGTCCGGTTTTGCCGAGTCCCTTAAAGCGACGCAACTTCATACCGAAAGTTTCGTTCAGATCGGACCGCCTTGACGAGCGCTATCGTGAATCCCTCCCACCCCCCGCACCTCCAACCCCCCCCCCCCTCCAATCCCCCCCCCCTCCAACCCCCCCCCGGTCCCGCCGTTACAGACAGACGGACAGAGCCGCAGGAAAAACGTTCTCAACCTCGTTTGGGAAAGCCTTAAAAAAAAAAATTGTCGGTGACCTGCGGGAGTCTGCGATTGGTGGTTCGAGGTCACATGACGCCAGTGTGCCGATTGGCCTCTCGGTCTGGGCCCCCGTGACGCGCCTCGGGGCGTTGTCGGGAGCCGCGTGTCGCGTAACGATTGTATATATCTATTTTTATTAACCGCTCAACATCTTCTGCACTCGCCACGGAGCCTAAAGACCTCCTCTATTTTTACACTTTTCTAGCCCAACGTGGACCGACCGCGGAGGGGCACTGGCCGGAGAAGCCGAGGTGGCCGTCGTTTCACCGGCGGGGGGGGGGGGGGGGGGTGGGCCGGGCCTTCGTTTACAAAGCGCGCCTGTGCTCGGCCGTCACGCCGCATCCAGGATTCCTCTCGCGGCGCCTGCGGTTACTGGTCACGTGCTCCTCTCTGGGGGCCCTGCCACTACCGTCTCCCGGCGACGCAGTGGGGTGTTTCCTGCGCCCGGCGCGCCGCGTCTCGCGCACCGCCTCTCTCGCCGCGGTTTTTACTTTTTACTCTCCGCCGGCTTGCCGGCACCTTCTGGAGTCTGCCGGCCACACAGAACACAGTCGGTGGCAATCGAGCCCTGGTTTGCGGCGATCGATGTTAGGTGAAGCAAGGCCTTATCAACAAAATGTAAATTTTATATATATAAACAAAATGAAGATACCTCCTTCCCCCTGCGTCGTCACCTCGTCCGACGCCGGGGGTTCTGTATTTTGTACGGAGATCACTAAATCGGTGTCTTTTTGCTTTTTTAATGGGCTGTTGTGGTTTTCGGCCGTCACGCTCTCCCGGCGAAGGGGCGGTGGCCCCGCCGTGGCCCAGCCGTGGCCCGGCGGTCGCGGTTCGAATCCGGCAGGCCACCCTGGTTAACACCGCGGTGTGTGTGCACGCGCGCGTGTCTGTGTTTTGACAGTCAAAATAATAATATGGCGCGGCCGTCCAATTTTACTCGCAGCGGACGCTAAAAATACCAGTGGCGTCGTTCGCAAGAGCTAGTAGGCCGCTGTGTGCCGGTGTTGTGGTAAGAATGTTGCCAAATTTTCGTCGCAAAATCACACCGCAAATCACTCGATTTGGAATCGTACACGGCAACCATCGCCCCCCCCCCCCCCCCCCCCCCCCCCGAACTGCGAAAAACTCAGCAGGACCCTCGTTACTAAAGAGTCAAGCGACTCGGTGACGCTTTCCTGGCCGGGTATAAACAGGGCCTGATCATTATAATGTGGTTATCATAACTAAACAATGACGTGGCCTTCTGCACAGAACGCAAACATTCCCTCCCTCCCGGTGTCGGGGAACGGTGCATCGTGAGCTGACCTCAAGGGATTACGCCGCTCAGTTGAGACTCGGCGACTGGTCACCCTGGTTAATAGCTGCCGGCTGTGCGGGGATTGACCCAAGTATATAAACATATATATATATAGTCACGTCTACGCCGGCCCACTTTGCAAGTGCGAGATGAAACATTTAAATGAAAATCATCTAAATCCCGTGGAGCGTGCGATGGCGTTGTTGTACAACTTTGGGAATTAAACATTGGGGTTGAGGGGGCAATTTAATCAAAATAATCTCGATTTTTTTGAAAGCGCCTTTTCTTGAAGCCAAGGCCCCCCCCCCCCCCCCCTGTACGTAGCGTTATTATCCTCCCTGTTGTTAGTTAATTGTTTAGCCATGCAATTAAAATAGTCGTCAGGATCACCTGCAACAAATGGGCGTCTTTTTTTTCTTTCTCTTTTGTAAAAATCAACGCCGTTTTCTTTTTCCACCTGACGACAGCCCCGGGCCATGCGGGCGTTTGTAACTTTAGTGAGTTCTCTCCCTCTCGTAACTGTAGGGTGAGGCCGAGCAGTCGGCTCCGTGTCCGGAGGAGAGACGCCATCCACCCGTGGGGCACAGCCCACCACGTGGATGGCAGCCACCGGGCACCCCCCGCCTGGCAGGGCATTTTCGATAGCCGCCCGCGAAACGCAGCCCCTTCGCCGATGGCCTCGTGTGCGTAAAGAGCGGCGCGCGCGGAGAGCGAATGTACGACGTCGTTGTTTGTTGCCGTGCGGAGAGAGACGTCGTCGTCATTGGGCGACACGTATTTGTGATGCGGCAAATTTTGTGGCCCCTCGCGAAAGGCGTTTGCCGGGCTGCTGCTGCGTCCGTCCCGGTAACTTTGCGCGAGTTTCTGTCGCCCTCGCGTCTCCGTGCCTTCGGTCGTTTCTCTTGGAGAATATGGGGGCGGGGGGGGTGGAATCACCACCACCACCGTGCATAACAGGTGTTATAGGCTTAGTGCTGCTGCTGGGCTACGTGGTGGGCAGCAAGGCCGAGCGTGGCACTCGGGACTTGCGAGCTCCCACGTCTCACGGAAGGCTCCCTTACGTCTTTACCAAACCGCAGCGACCGGCGTGGTGAAGTACGGTCAAACAACCTCCCCCCCCCCCGCGTGCCCACACGACGTGCGGGGGTTGTGCCGCTCGTTGTTTGGCAACGGTGTCCGATGTTTCGGTGGTGGTGGGGAGCGGTGGCGCAGCGGTTAGGTCGCTGCGCTACAACACCCGGCGACCTGGGTACGGCCAACACGATTGTCTGAACCTGTTCTGAGCCTCCCCCTAGGTTGACTCGGCCTAAACTGAGTACCTGGTGCGGTGTGTAAACATCGGCACTCGGGAGACAAAGGCGGCCTGGCGCGGTGCTGGCCACCCACCCCCTCGTGTGCCGTGCCGGCCTTCATAGGTGCTGCTCGTTTACAGCACTTGCCCCAACAGCCTGTTGAGGCTATACGGGGGATCTTTGTCTTGTGGTGGTTGTGGTTATTGAACCGGGCTGCTGTGAAGAAGGTCCCAGCACGTGGTGGAGCGGGAGAGAAGTCGCAGCAAGACGGACGCCGGGGTTGGATTCCCACCTCGGGCTGCCTCCGTGTTGCGGCGTTTGCGTGTCATCACCTCCTGTCCCCCCCTCCTGTCCCCCCCTCCTGTCCCCCCCTCCTGTCCCCCCCTCCTGTCCCCCCCTCCTGTCCCCCCCTCCTGTCCCGCAGAGAGTGCCAGTGCCTGTGGTTGGTAGCCGTGAGCGCAGAATCAAACTCGGGTCGCCGGGGTTCGTAGTTCAGCGCGCGAATCGCTGAACTACGAACTCGCCACAGACGTAAACACACAGACGCATTATACGATCGTGCACAACACTTATGCAATGGGTCGCTCTACAGAATAATTGCGCGCGCAGTGCTTCGGTGTAGATGTTGTGCGTGGCATGCGGTAGACTTGGTGTATCGGCGGATCTGTGCAAGGGTCGGATAAGCGAACGTCTGTAAGAGATTGGCGGCGTAGCGGCACTGTGCACACACAGGGTTACTGTCGCGCAAATAAAGCACCACACGTACCCTGCCCGTCGCGACGACGCTTCGCTCGCAAGTCGCTTGCCGCACACTGGCACTGGTTTGAACAAATAAGTGCAAGGGCTGCCGCGATTGCAGTGATGATGGTGGTGTTGGTGGTGTTGTTGCTGGTGTTGATGGTGGTGTTGATGGTGGTGTTGATGGTGGTGTTGATGGTGGTGTTGATGGTGGTGTTGATGGTGGTGTTGGTGGTGTTGATGGTGGTGTTGATGGTGGTGTTGATGATGGTGTTGATGGTGGTGTTGATGGTGGTGTTGATGATGGTGGTGTTGATGATGGTGTTGATGATGGTGTTGATGATGGTGTTGATGATGGTGGTGTTGATGGTGGTGTTGATGGTGGTGTTGATGATGGTGTTGATGGTGTTGATAGTGATGATGATGGTGTTGATGGTGTTGATGGTGATGATGGTGATGATGATGATGATGGTGTTGCTGAGCCCCTGGGGGGTTGGTGGTAGCCGAGTGGAAGGGAGGACCGCTTGGCCCATCGCGCGTGGCTTGCCGTATCGAGGGCAGTCATCGCTGCCTGTGTCTGCCACCAGATACCCGCAGAGACGACGCGCGGGCGTAGCTGAACGTCTCGTCTCTCGGTCGCAGCAGCGTCTTCTTTCCAAGGCGCTTGACAGCAGTGATACAATGTGCACGTGAGATGACCGTGGTGGAGATGGAGAAGAGTGGGGGTTGTGTCGTTATGGTGACGGGAGGACAGCTGGGAGTGGTTGAGGTGGGGTAGTGATAGGGTTTGGTGTTGGGGGTGTAGTGATAAGAATAGGGGTAATGATCGGTTTGGTATAGGTGTAGGGGTGGTGGTGATAGGGGTTTGCTGTAGGGATTGGTGTAGGGATAGAGATAGGGGTTGGTGTAGTGATAAGGGTTGGTGTTGGGGTACTGATAGGGGTTGGCCTGGTCATAGCTGGGGTGCCAGGGCAGGGAGTAGGAGGATGATGATGATGTGCTATGGAGTAGAGGTGGGGGTGTTGGTGACGGAGGACTGTAAGAGGAATGATTTGCGTGCGGTGGGAGTTTACGCGTTGACGTCTTGCCAGCGACAACCACCTCAACCAGAACCTCGACGAACTCGCCTCATCGGGTGTCGCTCTCATCCCACCACCCAGATCCGGAGGAACGCCGCCACCGCTGCTGCTGCGCGAACGGAGTGGAGCAACGCGGACATTCAGAATCATAAGCACCTCTTCATTCGAGACTCAAACATCATCATCGTCGTCGTTGCCGCACCTCCTCTTGCCTTTGACATTACTCATCGAAGACACGGGGGGGGGGGGGGGGTTAACCATCACCCGCATCGCAACATCATTGCCGATTCATGAATGGGAGTTAAAGACCCAGCCGCAGTAGTCGTGTGATTGTGGCCACACGACCTAAATTATGGGCCCTATAGAAAACCTGTGGGGAGAGTTTGACGCGTAGGCCAATAGATGCATGTGTAATGACGACTTGGCACACTCGTCCTGAGATGGTTTCTTTATTGTA